GTGAGCCGGCGGTGGCGGCACTTGGCTTGTAGTGGTAGTGTCGGCCTCCTTGAGCAACAGCAGCAACACACAGCAACACACAGCATCACACAGCAACACACACAGCAACACACAGCAACACACAGCAACACACAGCAACACACAGCACCACACAGCAACACACAGCAGCTCGCAAGGGGGCCAGAGACTCTTGGAGTAGTGAGGGCAGTAGCTCTCAGTAGCTGTTGGAACAGCTCGTCCGGGGTCTGCTCCAGTCAGTGGCTAACCTAGGCATAGGCCGGGTATCAGTGTAATATGTGTAGTCAGCCTAGAGTGGGGAAGGAGAGAGCAGATCCTCGGCAAACGAGGGGTGAGGTTCTTGAGGACAAAAAGTAAGGAGGCGTGATCCTGCAAGTGCCTGACAAACATTCTGTCTCTCGGTCTACTGACTCTCCTGCCAGGCCCCTCAGAGGAGTCTTGATGGCGCCGAGGCCGTGGGTAGCTAGCAGTGTGTTAGCAGGCTTGTGCCTCGCTTTCGGTCAGGACATCGATGATCGGCCAGCTCGGGGAGGATCGGCTCAGGATGATCAGGCAGGTTCTTGAGTGATCCTGCGGGTGCATGCCGGCGACACACAGCCTGTCTCTGCTTGGTCTGCTGACGCTCTTGCCAGGCCCTTCGGAGGAGTCTTGATGGCGCCGAGGCCGTGGGTAGCTGGCAGTGTGTCTGCAGGCGAGAGACCTCGCCGGTTTCCTCTCAGGCCACTGGACCTTCTGCAGATGCCGCTGTGGGCCCGCGAGAACATGGACAAGGCGAGGCGAGAGTGGTGCTCCTCTTTCGTGCGCCGTGTGCCGGGTTTGTGTTGAGTTAGGAGAGGGCGGTTGCGAACATACGAGTGCAACTAGGTGCGACCTTGTAATTTCTAGTAGCAATCCTGTCTTCAACAAGAAGAAAGGTTGGTTCACGTATATTTCAGGCTAGGTTAGATAGTGGGTGCGACCAGGTGCGACCTTGTAATTTCCCAGACAAATGTCACCTTCAGGATTTCAACTTGTCAATGGGTTAGTTTCTCGGTGCCGGAGGTCTGTTTGGAGAGAGTTGTTGCGAAGGTATGGGTGCGACCAGGTGCGATCTTGTAATTTGCAGTACAAACTTCAAGCTTAAATGCCGAAGTGCAGTTGCAATCCGTGTGTCAGCACTTAGAAACGACAATAGTTGATTCACGTATGTTTCAGGGTAGTCTAAACGTTTAGGTGGCAGGTGCGACCAGGTGCGACCTTGTAATTTCCTACACAAATGTCACCTTGGAGGGTTGGACCAGGCTTTTTTCAGCACGGCGGAAGCAACTGCCCTAAGGATAGCCAGGCATGCACTTCGGAGAAACCGCTGACCCCGTCCGTGCCATAAAAAACCTCCTAAGCCCTAAATGTGTGACCATGATGGAACCCCAAAACTTCCTTAGAGCATTAAGCCTGACTCTGAACGCAGGACAGGGGGTACTACCAAGGTTGAGAAGACTAGGGTTTCTGAGAGTTCCGTTGAATGGGTCCTGGAAAGGTTCAAGCCCTGCCCTCCCGCTTGGCTCTCCAGACTTAAGATGCAATATTTTCTCAAAACAGTGCAGCTGGGCTGCGATGGCATGGTAGGACGAAACTGGGAATGACATTCGACAACGCCCGGCATACAGGGGCAGCCCTCTTTCAACGGCTTTCTTAGGATTCTTGCAATTACAGTCTCTAGAAGGAGTATTAAGAACCAGCAAAAAATCCAGATAGGCATGCCCGGGTATCTGTGCCGCGTGGATGGGTGCGGTCAGCACACGTTTCGAAAGCCGCCAAACAACGAGTGCCAGGCTTGCCGTCCGGTGAGCAAGCGAGGTGCTAACAGAAGATGGCCGAAAATTCGCTTCAGAGATAAGTGTGCCGTGTCGCCCGGAGGCGTGCCTGACAGAGCCACAGTGACAGTGAGAGCCGCTGCCAGACCGAATCAGAAGCAGGCGGCTGCATTGGCAGAGGCGGTTTCGGGGCCACCAGAGCAACAGTCAGCGAGGGAAGAGGAGCAGACAGCAGAGCCAGCCCTTCTTCCTCCCAGGCAGAGACAGTTGCAACCACATGATTACGATGGGCACGAGACCGCGTTGAACGAGATGTTCCAGGAGATTCAGCAGATTGTGGGCTCTGCAAGTGCACACAACGCACTCGGGTGTGCCCAAGCGATGATCAAGAGATTTTCCAGAGCCACCGCAGCAATCCCTTCCGATTTGACAACGATCGTTGCAGTCAGCTTCGCTCTTCGCGGAGATGAAAATAACGAGGCCATGCGTGTGGCGTGGTACGAACATTGTGGCCGCTTGAGCGTCTATGCGAGGAAAGCACATGAGTCTAGACTTATTATGGCATTGCCGTTTGAGACACACTTACAAGAGGAAATGTCACTGACAGAGATGTCACGAGTGACTTGAAACTGTCAGACTCTGAAAGTCAGTGACTGGGTCTGCCACTGCCGATGTAGTCTGGTAGAGATCGTTGCAGCAACGTCTGCCTCCGGTCCGAGGGGAAGTCGGCGGAGACTTGAAATGCTCCAGGGGAACCGGCAAAATCAATCAGCAAGGTTCAGGGACTGAAGCCAGAGATCGCAAACGTAGGTGGTTCAGTGCATTCATTGTGCTGCCTGCTACAGGACGGTGCCTCAAGTGCCGCATGGACGACTAGTCCTGGCCTCAGTCTCTCAATGTCAGTCAGTGGCGAACTCTGTGCTGAGCAGCAGAAGTCACTGAAAGCCGCCCGCATCCCTGCCCCCCGTGTTGTCGGACAATCTGTAAGTCTAAACTGCTGCTAAAGTCATTAGAGGGCCAGTTCCTAAGCCAACACAAATTCAAACAAACCCTGTAAGTCTTCTGAAGTGGTGACAGCACTGCACTTTCAGGGTGGGAGGGGGTGTGATTCGGCACGGGCGGGGACACGGAGGTCAGAAGGCATGAGTGGGAGGGGGGCGATGATTACAGTAGAGACAGAGGTTCTGGAAGGCATGGCAGTAGTTCTTGGAGTGTTATAACCGCGATTCTGAAAGCTTGAAGCTCTTCCTTGCCAGGCTTTGGGGTTGACAGTGGAATAAGCCGAGTCGATTTTCTCCTTGACAAGCATGGTTTTGCTGGCTTCTGTTTCCAAAGATCAGATTCCGACAGAACCACAAGTCCAGTGAGCCAGGCATGCCCAGGCACATCCTGTTCTTAGGTTGTGCTTCGGTTCAAAGAGGAAGGATCATAGTTTGTGAGAGTCATGCTTCCCCGACTTCCAGAACACTAAGCTAAGGATGAAACCCATGTCTGCAAATAGCTGATGACACGAAAGGCGTTTGTGCTGCGTCCAGTCTTTGTTACACTGCTTCCAGTCATGCCTCCGAGCGCAGCCAGACATGTGATGTTCCCTGAGCATTGGGTGGCCCAGTTCACCTTGTTCTTGGGGCAGATTGCAGCTACAAACTCAGAGCGGTTTCTGGGTGGCATCAGTGTGTTCGATGGCAAGGCACGCAGCACGAGGAGGGTGAGCGATGCATTGACGAGGGTGGGAAACATTCCGACCCTCAGCGTGGACGTGGAGAACGACCCCAGAGAAAGCATTCTTGAGAGCACCGGTGTTCTGATTTTTTTGGACGCACTTGCGCACCTTGCGTGTGAAAGCCTGCTTTGGATGGCTCCCCCGTGCAAAACCTGGTCATTCATGAACTCCAGCAAGCATCAGCGTTCGCGCGGCCAGCCGATGGGGCATGTGCTTCTCCCTGCTGTGCGCCAGGCCAACCTGGTTGCTGATTTCGTAGCCTCGGCAGTTCGGGCAGCGACTTCTGCAGGAGAGTATGCGATGGTTACATTGTTATATCCGCAATATATAGGAAGGTTATCAGAGAGGTTGAATAGAGTAACGGTTCAACACATTGCTTCGTGAACACGTACATCAGAGGTAGTTTTCCATTCGAAAAGTGCGGGAGCAAGCTTCCTATAGTAAAGTGCAGGAGTCTGGGTGGTCATCGAAAACCCCGTCGGCAGCCACTTATTTTCGTACCCCGCCCTGGAGACTGCGGCTGCGGAATGTAATCTGCGCTGTGTGACAGTGCATCTGGGCTACTTCGGAGCGGCTAGCCTGAAGCCCTTGTGGCTCGTGGGGAACGCCCCGTGGCTCGAGCAGCTCGCAGAGCTGAGCCGGCGTCGGAAGCAGTCCCAATCATCATGGGAGTTTATGCCGCTGGCTCGGGATTCGGAGGCCGGCGGCAGGACAGGGAACAGGGCAGAGCTGGCGGACAGCCAGGAGTATCCGGAAGCGTTCTGTGCGGCTTGATCTATTTGCGCCTGCTGTTTCATAATATAAATATACTTATAGCAAGATGTGTTATTACTGTTGTCCTGGTATCGTTTGTTCCTAGAACGCATTACTTATTATTGTTAGGCCGCTGGGGTGAGGCTGTTTACCAGTCCTGACATATTGACATATTGACAGAAACAATCTATCTGAGGACACAGTTGCCGAGCTGCATGGGCAGTATCTAGCCAGAATCGGAAGGCAGCAAGTCAACGGGCTTTCTTCCACCTGAGCAGCCTAGCATGTGATGATAAGAGGCCAGGAACATGTCAAGTAATCCTCAGACTGAGCGACTCAGGCTTTGCTTTGGAATGCATTCATGCCTCTTTGTTGCTCTATCTCACCTGGGGCCGGCAAAAGATCGGCGGATGTGCAATTTTGACAAAGCAGCGGCACATCAGAGATTGCAGAGGTGTCTGACGTGCTAAATTGACTGAGCGAAGCAGCGGGGCATTCAAGATCCATAAGAAATCTTATGGCAGCACATGCATGTTGCCTCCACCGGCGTCCCAGGTCAGAAGAGCCGCTGTTGTGGGCAGGCTGCCCAGTCCAACTTTGTGAACACTTCAGCCGAGTGCATCTGTGTGAACTCATTGATCTGAGCTGAGCTGAGCTGAGCATGTCACTGCAGTCAATCAGAGCCTGCCGTGAGCGAATACCGTTTCCGCTACAAGCAGTCAGTGCAGGATAGAAGCCATGTAAGCTTATCACTGCAGTGTCTTTCCTTCCCTGAGATGCAGTGGACAGCTTCAAATTAAAGGTTACTCATTTTCACTGCCCGACAAGGCGACACGTGACCGCACCGCCTGCCGCTGCGCGTCTGTATGTGCGACACAGGCCGGCATCTTGGGTGTGACGATTGTCATTCTGAGACGACAATACCCGGGCGGGGGTGAATCAAGTGTAGTAAACTTTAAAAGGATCGACACGTTTCCATCCGTTCGCTTGGTCCGAACAATCCAACTGCGAGTAACTACCGCAAGATGGAGCAGTGACATCTTTGGACCGCAGACATATCTGCAGCCGTGTCATGGTGAATGCCCAGTGAAGACGGGGTGTTATCTACAATTTGAAAGGAAACACAAAATACATCATATGACATGTGCAGTC